TCTTTTCATTGTACACCTTCGTGTTCCATTTTGCATTAGAATATTTTCTTAAGATAGTGCTGAAGTATGGAACTGCACCGTATAGATATTATGGTCCTGCCTTCATGGAATTAGCAGATTGTGTTCAAGTGGAGCAGATGTTGATTAGCTCTGGGCTCCGATTTACTTCGCACTTCATTTTTACTATGGCCTTTACATTGCCTAAAAGCAGTTCTCTGCGTGTCTCTATTTATAGTTGAATGCCACTGAGCAGCACCACTGATAAATAAAACTGAAATGCCAATAGGTTCTTTTTCCAAATGGCGTTTCAAGGAGCAGTCCACGCTTGCTTTAAAATTAGAGTTACCATGCTGCTGTTTCGCTTGAAGATCAAATTAAACATGGGCAGCTCTGATGTGTGGCTGTACCCCAGCTCTGTCCTTGTGCATGCGCTTTTTCCCACCTGCTGCCCGGTTGTTCCCTGCCTATCTGCTGGCTGCCTGGAGGCAGTGATGCTTGGAGTGTTCCTGCAGGGACGTTCTTAAGGCTGTCTTCCAGGGCAAGAATGAAACCCTGTCAGCTAGTTGTCAACTGTTTGTCCTTTTTGGTTAGTAGAAGGTCTGTTTGTTGTTAGTATCTAAATGCCCCAAAACAAAGCTAAGCGGCGTTTTTCTTTATTTTGTGCTATTATTTTAAAGCAGAGGAGTACCATGTAATTAACACACATACATATTTTGCAAAGAATGCTATAATTAGTTACTGACTGAGATATTCTGTTACCAACTGGTAATATGTAGAATTGCTTCTGCGGAGTTAGGAATGACTTTATATGTGTACAGACCCATCTGTACACTGAGTCTATAGAAAGCTGTGTGGTTCCAGGAAAGCACTGATAGCTAGGAAGCTTATGTTAGGATATAGGGGTTATTAATCAGACTTGCAGGTTACTTGATAGCTGTGAAGCATAATAGCATGAGGCATAATGGGTCTGACACTAACCAGCAGAATATTACCATGAAATAGTTAGCAGGGGTTGGGGGCCACCAGTAAGCTCATTGTAATGCACTGCGCAGGGCAGCAACATCTGCACTCTCAGCGCATCGCACCGTAGTGCAGAACAAAAGGTTTCCACATAACCTTTTTACTAAAGCCAGGTAGGTGTAGGTTGCATTTCACTGACTGTTTTTCACTGGTGCTACGCATGAAGTGTTGCAGTGGATAGCACGGGCTGATATTCTTAGAACATGGGATTGCTTCTTCACAGATCAGTGCACCTTTCATGTCCTTAATTACCTTAAGCCAAAAAATATGGTGGTGTATGAATATAAGAGAGAGGAAAAATAACTGTTCAGTAAGTTAAGGTCAAGCAAATTGCACAGCACGTGTTTTATCTCTCTCGTTAGCTGAGAGCTAGGGAGTGTTGGCAGTTTCCGTAAGACACATCTAAGTCCATGTCTTTTTGGGACTTTTCTGGCATTAGATTAAACATTCTCTGGGGCAAGGATGAGAAAAATTTCTTCTTAAGAAAGGAACTAATAAATAATTTAACAGTAATTCCCGTTCCTTCCACTCCGTAAGGCAATTGCTTAATTGGATAGTTGTTTGTGTGCTTGAGAAGGGTAACGGCCAGCCTTTCTCACTGTAGGAAGTTGGTGAGAGATATGGAAAGGGAATTGGGTTGGGGCTCAGAATGTGTAGGGGTGCTTCCCAGGCAGTTCCCTGTCCCAGGGTGCAGGAGGATTTCAGTTCCAGCACTCCTTGGCTTTGGGCATTGGAGCTGGGGCTGTGGAGGGACAGCCAGGTCCACAGATAGATACTGCAACCAGGTAACGTGTTTGTCTGCAGCTGAAGGATTAACAGATTACATCAGGCTACTATGAAGACAGATTTTTCTTTGCACTGTTATGCTCGGAATTGAGAGCTGGGTACAAAGTATTTCTTGTGCTTAATGCTGTGATATGATCTCTGAATTAGGATAGTGATGTGAAGCTAAATCCCAGGCACTGAGTTTTGTTGCTCGTTGTGAGGTGTCGTTTATTAACTGTGGCATTTCTGAAGCATTCTAAGTGTGGTAGAAGGCATTGTTTCCCTTTTTCTAATTAGCTCCTACATTTGTCTGAACATTTATCAGCAAATGTTTAAATGTCTTAAAGCTGGCATTTTCAGTGGGCTTGCCAAGAGACAAATCTCTATTCCTCAGAGGCAGCGCAAATCAAATTAGCACAGACTGAGTTCTTTTTTCTAACTGTGGGAGTTCTGTCAAATCTATTTAATACTGAGGTAGAGCTGACCCACTTGTTTGGCATGTGGTAGTGACCAGAAAACAGCACGAGTTCGGGAAGTCCTTAAACGTATGAACTTTGGTTTTGTGAAATAGTTAACCAGCACTTCCTTTTGTAATAATCTGTTCAGTATGTATTACTGTGATGTTTAAAAATAAATTCCTCCTTATTTGAGTCTTGAACGTTCTTGAGGACTTGTGCATTAAGATCTTTTATAGAGGAAAAGATCCTCAAAACTGAGGTATCGTCAATGTTAAAATAATGTTGTTAATAACTCAGTTCTGTTAAATATGCCGATAAATTTGCGCACTGAATGTATGTGAGGGAATTGAAAGAGCTAATATGAAAAGTGAGTTGGGCCAGGGATGGATGTCAGGTTTGGAAAGGAATGGATCAGTCAGGGGCACTGTGTTACCAATGCATGCACAGTCTGAGCTCTGAGAACCAAAGCATCGTGTTGCTTTTATCTTGGTTGTTGTTGCTGCTCTGCTGCAGGATGCTTTGGTGCAGCCAGCTCCGTCAGCGCAACAGTGAAATATGGCTGGGGGAGCAGGAAAGCTCTTGTTTTTCTTGAAGGATTCCGCAGTCTGTTGTTTCAATCAAAATCTGCTAGAGAAGTAGGTTTTAGCACGGCTGTAACTGAAGGAAATGAGAGGAAGTCATATTCTTGCATGATAGTATCTTTGAATGTACTAATTGCTGGAGGACGGATGTAGTGATTCTCTGTATTTTTATCTATTTTGATTTACTAGTGGAAAATGGGAACACACAAATAAAAACATAGATAGGACTAGAAGATATCAGAAGTTTAAACACGGTAAACTTTTCAAAAAAATTTCAATTTCTTTTTACTGCATCGAGCTGTTAATGGTAGGTTCCTTTCTCAAATGACTGGATTGCTTGATGACTGCTAAAATACCATTTTGTTCCAGGTAAACGAAATGCATCCCTGCTGGCATGAGCATCAGTTCTATGCTAGTGATTTTATTTTATTTTTTAATACTGTTTAACAAAACGGTTTCTGGCAACAGGATCAGAATGTTGGGCGCAGCCTATTTTCCCTATTTAGTGGCTGTTTCAGCAGCCATTGCTGAGGGCAAACTGCCTGTCTTCCAAGTTCCAGGAACCCTTGGAATGATGCTAGGAGTGTATAACTGGTCCAGTGTTGAAGGATCTGCTGAGTCGTCATAACTTGGTTAGTTGTCACAAATGTATCTAATTGTTAAAGGTTTTAAAAATCCTTTCTCAACAAATTAAAAGCAATTGTAATTGAGAAAAGCTGTGAATAAGAGATGACAGCAACATTCTAAGTTCATTGTTTCTTAATTCTATAAATATGTTTGAGTACTATTTTACCTTTGCTTTAAGTAGATACTAATTTGCTGGATGTGGATTACTCTGTAATGTCTTAGAGGATCAGACTGGCAAAGCTCTGAGGTTTTTTGCTACACGTGATGAGTAGTAGTAAACTGAGTAATAATGTATAGCTTTCTGTACATGAATATATAGTGTGCTGTGTGCATACAGTAGACATTAGCCAATACTTACTTCACAGAGACCTCAGTTACGTGTTTTCCTTGCATACCGTTGGATAGGTAGCAGTTGGCTTCCCAAGGCCTTTTGATTTAAATCAAGTTCAGTGGTAGTAATCTTGCGGTGCAGTGTCAATCTTGATTATAGGGGAGATAACATAATGAAATTGAGTCTATTTTTGTGCTGAGAAATTTCAAGGAAACTCTCATTGACAAATGACTTAAACATAAATGCATATTGATAACTAATGCATTTAATAACCCATGCGTAGTAGGAGTGCAGTGGTGTTGAATAGTAGTAATTCTGTGCTCAGAATATTGGGAAATTGATGTTTCAACCTGTCTTAACAGTGGTCCATAGGTACTTCGTGCTGAGAACTGTATTTCATCCTGGAAGTAATAAGGATTCCTTTTTTCTGGTTCGCATTTATGTACTTGCTCTCTGTGGAAAGATTCCCTGGTAACTTAGTTACAGTCGAGGTGGCAGATTAAATTGAATGTTATTCAAGTGCACTTAATGTTTTCAGTATATTACTCAACCATTATGATCCTCATCTCTGCAAGACACCTGGTATCCCAAAGGAATGAGTAATTAGCAATAGGCAAATGGTATTTATAAAGTGTGATAGTGAAAGGTGAAAACCAGACCAGCAGGGTAAATCTGATGAGAGATAATAGTCTAAATCTGGATTTGATTACTGTTTAAGAACTTCATACATGTAAGAAAAATTGTTGGCCCACCGTTTGTAGATTTTAATTTCTGTTCCTAAAAAAAAATGTAAGATGCAACTCTAAAAGTGAGGGCCAAGCTGAGGGTTACACTTGTCTAACAAGACTAGCTACAATTGTCAGTGTGATATGGCAGAGTACTTGCAGGGCACACTGAGTCTCACATTGTCACATGTGCACTGTTCAAGCTTCAGTGAGAGCAGGAAGAATTACTTCGTAATTTGGGAAGGCGTCTGTTGTTTTTGTTAGTAAATGATTGTCATTTTTTACTTCTGGCATCTCCATTGCCAAGGTTTTTTGCTTCCTTTTGGTACAACTCTTCCTCCGTTTTGCAGTAATTTAGCTATGGTGGGACAGGAATGGACCATATATGAAATGGACTGCATAAGCACATAAAGCATGAACTATAGGACATAGTGAAGTGGTTAAGTTATAGTCTTCAGCTACCTTATGATCTCCTTTTTTCTTCTCTTAATAGGGTCGGTGTTTATGCTGAAGGTTCAAGTAAATGACATCATCAGTCATCAGTACCTGGCACAAGCAGTAGTGGAAGTGTTTGTTAACTACACCAAGACAAATTCTACTCTCACTGGAAACAACGGAGCAGTATTAATAAAAGTTCCTTACAAGTTAGGATTAAGTTTAACTATCGTATCATACAAAGATGGCTACATGTTAACACCTTTGCCTTGGAAGACTGGGAGAATGCCAAGTATGTAAGCCTCTTACTGTCCTATTATTAAACTGTATCTATTGGTAATTACAGTACCTCTTCTCAGCAGTCCATGTAGTTACTGTCAAGTGAAAATGACTGCAGTCAGTTGAGGGAGGCGGTGCCTGTCGGTGCAGATGTAAGGGTGAAGGACCTGTTAGATCTGTCACAAATTCTTATTACTGTGCAAGTGAGGAGAGCCCTTGTTAACTCTGAGTAGGTTGTACTGCAACACTGTGAGTGTACTCTGAGAAATTATTCACTTAAACGTAGCAAGGGGCTTTTAATGCATTTTTGATAAAAATCATATTTTGTCTAGTGATTCACGGTGTGCCAGTGCTTTGAGTGTAATATAACAGGTACAGCCTTTTGTTACGCCTTCTTTTCAGCAGTACTTCCTCCCAAGTTTTTCTCTTCTTAAATGGGCAAGAAAAAAATCATTGTTTAAAAAACAAATCAATAAGAGGATGCTTCTAAGAACTCTAGCGACTTGTATTCTATAGAAAACATAAAACAGTACCAAACACAGCCATACAGAACTTTGTCTAACCAACGTAATTCCTCTTTTGGCCGCCAGGAGTCATTGATTTCTCTAGTCTTCATATGCTCCTTTTCAGCTGCCCTATTCTTTTGGAATCAGAGAGCTTATTAGATGGTTATTTTTTCAGTTGCATAGTATAACAGATATTATCACTTTCCACAGTATACTCGTCTGTGACGCTCTCGTTGTTCCCACAAAGTCAAGCTAATATATGGCTGTTTGAAGATAGTGTTCTGATCACTGGAAAATTGTCTGGTAAGTTTGTTGTGTACTGCAGGCTAAGCAATTCATGATACTTTGAAAAAAGAATTACCGAGTTCATGCTCTCTGTAAATGTTTGTTGATCAACATTTGCCGATCTAGGGAGATGGAAGCCACTTAAGCTGGGGCTACCTGAGCACTGCTTTTGACAAGAGATAGATATTACCTATACCAAGGCTAGAATTTTGGTTGATTGTTTAACCATTTGTGACAGACGTGAGACTAGGAACTTAAAAGCCTTGAAAGAAGACTGTTCTGCTGAGTGGATTTCTGAGCAATATTTAAAAAAAGGTGTTTTTTTTTTTTTTTTACCATTGCTAAAACAAAATATTACTCTTTTACAGATGCCAAATCTCAACCAAGCGTTCAGTTTCAAAAATCTTTAATAAAGCTTCCAACAGATCACCATGTTACAAATGTTACAGCTTATTTGACAGTGCCAGAGCAATTCTTGAAAGTGGACAGTTTTCTTTATACGACTGGAATTCTTCTAAACAAATCAGGTATAGTAGATGTATTATTTACATTTTTAAAGAGTTTTTAAAAATGCAATGTTTTTGAGCACAAACTGTTTCATTAAAAATATGCTGAAATTAAAAGTGCCTGAACCAGCTTCCATTGCATTAAGTTGGTTTACTCTTCTTGCTATGGAGAAAAGCTGTGAACACAGCTGATAAGTAAAGTTGCTCTTTGATTTGTTCCATGTATGTTTAGTGTAGTGAGTCAGAACTCGTGACGGTGAATTTTTCCTTGAGTCTGCTTTACAGACGTGTATAGATAGTTCTACTTAGTGCTGAAGCACAGTTATAGGATTCTGATGCGCAGTAAGTAACCTTTTAAATGACTTTCAATTGAAGATATTTGAGATATCGTGAGGCTGGAGAGCTAGTCAAATAAACGCCTTAAAATGCAGCTGTGGACAGTGTGAGTTATGGGAATCTAAAGCAGTCAGTGGGATTAATTTTAGCAATGGGCTTTTCTGTTTTTTCACTAGAATTCTGTCACCTGGTTGCTAGAGCTTTACACTTAGCATAAAGGTCTTGTGCAAAGTATAATTAGACTCACTGTAAACCTGTGTAAGCCTGTTTGAGACCAAGTAGTCTGTATATATACACAGCAAAGTTGTAGTGATGTTTTCTATTATTCTGCTTTACAGGAGAAGCAGTGAGTGACTTCAGTAGTCATTCAATCCAACTCTGTATCGGCATAGTTTAGGATTTGCCATTGTATCAGATTTATTTTTTAATTATAGTTATCTCTGGCAGATGATACAGTTCTGTTTTGTTCTTTTATTTCCATTCCCAGGGAGCTTGAAGCCTTGTGGCTCCGAATTTGATTACAGCGCATGTGGTGGCTACTAGTTGATTTATTTCAACGAACTGTTCTTTAATTGTCATTGAGTATCATCACATCTAATTGATGTGTTGACTGATGTATTTCGTAACTGTTCTCGTCTGTATCTCACCTTGTTAAATTTGAAGCATAAGAGAATAAGCAGCATTTCTCCTCTTCAGTTTTTCTTTCAATCTGTCTGGCATGTGTATTAAATTATTCATATACTCCTGTAGGAATAAGCTTCCTTTTAGGGAAGGTGGAAGCTAATTGATATCTGATGCACCAGGAGTTTTGTCGCAGCGAGCTTCTAACAGCCTGCGCAGATTTAATATTATTCCAGTACTTATTAATTTTGTTTCAGTTTTTTTTTTTTTTTTTTCCAGTAGCCTGTCATATCATGGACTCCGAAGTATTTGCAAATTAGTGTGAAGGAAAACAAAGGAAACAAAATGACAAGCTGCACTGTAAATTTTTGTATATGGAGTTTCTTTTGAATACTTTGACATGTTTCAAGCTTAAACTACTCAGTTAATTGTAACTGCCAAATTAGCATATTAATTGGTATGGGAAAGTTTATTAAGAGGATTTGACTAAAAGGAGAATTGTGGTGGTTGTATATTTGCCATGTGTCTTCAGTTGGTTTCAAAGTTGTGTATATTGCATGATTAAAAAAAGTTAATCTATTGGTTAACTCTTTGGGAATCAAATTATATGATAAAGAAGGGTTTCTCCATCTCCAATCCATCTTTGGCGTAGTCATTGATTCTACAGCCAGTGATGAATCTGTGTGTTAGAAGTGTTTCTCTTTCACAGATCTGATATACAAATGACTGTTTTGGGGTTAGAACACAAGATTTACAAGTCTAGAAATGTTCATTTCATTTGACCAAGTTAGTGATGTGTAACTGTGCATCTGAATGCAGATGAGGGCTTGACTTTTTTCCCAGGGATATATAATTAATTCTAATTTTTTTTTTGAAAAGTGTACTGTGGGTGGAGGATTACAAAGTATTTCTCTAATTCAGGTTTCAAAAGCATTGAATTGACTCCTCTTGCTGCAATATGTGCAAACATTCTCTTGGCTGGGAAAGAACTGAAAGTAAATGGTCCTATTCAGATTACACTTCCTCTTCCTACAAGTACTGTAAAATCAGGAGATGCTATACCTGCATGGACATTTGATATGAAAACTGGTAAGTAGGCTGATTTGTTATTCAACGTTTTAACACATTCTTACAGTTCTGAGTATATGCCATTTTCTCATAAAATATTAATAGTGCTGATAAATTGTTGTTAAATAGTCATCAGTTTGGCTGGAGATCCCGTGCTGGTTTTTGGATGACTGGCCTGAATTGTTCAAAGCCATTTCACTGCTTTCGCTAGTCTTAAAAGTGCTGCTAAAACTCATCAGCATTCCTATTCAACACGTTTGATTTAACAAATTATTATTTTCATGGGCAGGCTAATAATTCGGTGAACATATTTCATATGGTGTTGGACATGAAAACCTAACAATTCTGTGAATGTCTTTCTAAAGGAAAGTGAATCAGAATTGAGAATTTAAGTCATTCGTTTTCTAAAGTATAGCTCTAAAAATCCTTTGATATTGAAGCTGGAATAGATGTTACTTAAGTCAATAAAAACAGTTATGAAAATGAAGTGGAAGCTACATAAGAGTTATTCATGGTAATACCATAGTTCTTTAAGTATGCAAGGGAGGCTGGGAATAAGACATGCTAAACCTTCTGTCATCACTTCATGTCTAATTTTAGTCAAGAGTAACGAGCTGTGTACACTTAGCCATTTAAATGTCCCATGTTTGGTGTGTGTGCATTGGTGTACTCACAGTCTTTGCTTGTTCCTTACACCTTTCACCATAGCTCATCTTAAAACATGCAAGTGAACAAAGATGTGAGTCTTTCCTTGTTACTAAAGCAAATAACTGTTGTAGTTGAAAGTAGAGGAGAGGACACTAACTCTGAAGACTTATTGTTTACACATTTGAGAGAGAAATTAATCATATTGATAACAACCAAAGAGCATAATTGATTAAAACTAAGAGTGTGCTAACTAAAAATTGGCATATAGAAAAAATTCTGACGTCAATTTTAAATCTGTCTGTGCACCTAGGAGGCTTTCAGAAAGGAAAGTGGTAAAAGGTAGCATTCTTCATCAAAGTAAGTCTTAATCTGTGATGGCAAAATAGCCTAAGGGGATTTAATTTCTTGTTGCCATAGCCATCTTTGTCATCTCCTGTGCTCATCTGTACTTATGCTGAGCTGTTTTGACTTAGTAAACGAACAAAACTAGGTCAGCAGTGCTGTAAAAACAAAGAACTGACAGAAGTAGAGCAGATCAGCATAAGGGCAAATTAGAAAGAAACCAGTGTAAGGTGCATATCTGGGTGCCGAGGAGCCTACCCAACATGCCTGATGAGGTGTGTCGGTCTTGAGACAAGAACAAGAACATGATGTACTAACTCAACAACTGCAGCAACAAAGGAATAGTTGATTTTTCACCTTTGAGGTTGTTCACTATTAGAGGTTCTGTAAAGGTAAATTGTTGGCGATGATCCCTCACTGAAGTGCAGTACTGAGGTGGAGCCTGGAGTTTGGAGAGGGAAGAATAAAGAGAATTGAGAACAAGGAGAGAGAACTTACAGGTATAGCTTTAACTTGCATTTTTCATTCTACTTCTTCAGCTGTCCTATAGAGTAAGTATTTGCAACTATTTTTATGGTTCTGGATGTTTGTTCTTACATACCTTTCTTTATTTTACTTTTACTCTGACCTGTACAAATTGTGACTAATTTCTGACATAACTGAGGAATAGCCAAGTATTTAATGCTGGTAACTGAAGCCAACTGAGCGTCTCAGCGATAGCACGGTCAAGAGCATCCACCGGAGCTCAACAGAGAGCTGTCACCACACCGAGTAATAGGCTGCAGTGTGAAAGGTCTTAAGTGCAGGATGGCCCAACAAGATGTTGACATGTACTTAGGTATTCTTAAGTCCTTGGGTAGTTTGTCATACATAATCAGAACTTCCATATCAATGCTGATAGATGTAAGTGAACAAGCCTGTGTTGTTGTGTAGAGTAGTCCAGGTGCACCAGAAATAAAAACATAGGAAGTGTTTTCTTGTATCAACTTTTGAAGTGCTCCCCTGGGTAGCTCAATGTACTGGTACACACACTTCATGAAGTTAAGTGGTTGTTATTGTGGCTGCTGTAAATGCACAGTCTGTTCACATATGTTGAGTGTGGCCTCATTGTAGCTAAACACTTTATTACAACAGATAGAGGAGTCGTAGAATCCTTAGAGTTGGAAGGGACCTCTAAGATCCATCTAGTCTGACTCCCTTGCAATGAACAGGGACACCACAGCTAGTTCAGATTGTATTCAGAATATGCACTTGGAAAAAATATTTTTTTCATAATATTTACTTTTTTCTATGGAGTATGTTGTAGGCAAGATAAAACTTGAGTAGTCAAAAGAGATTATACTGCTACTCATAGATATCTTAATTCGAAGCAGAACTTTTGGAGACGTAGGATCTTTGAAATGTGGTGGTGTGTTATTAATTTATTTTTTAAAAGCCTGTAAGTAGCTCACCCTCTGTACTTACAAAACTGTTGTTTTGCAGCATAGGGACCTCTGACCTTAGAGCTGACAAGAAATAGGATTCGAGGTTCTATTGTTGCCTCCATGTGGGAATTAGGGATGGAAGACACTTAGAGGTGGTGCTACTCTTGAGTCTGGAAAAGAGGTTCTCGACGTAACTGAGAAACCACCTCCTTCAGGGTTCTAGGCTGTTGCTGTTCCCTCTCTGCCAGCCATTATAAGTACCAAAAGAAGACTACAAATTTTACTGCCAAATGGTTTGGAGAGGTGAAGGAGGTTGCAGATGTGTGGCATGGGTCAACTCTCATCTCTACCTTCGCTCTGATAATATGTCTTGGGTTTTCTGGAAGAACAGTCCTGGATATCAATTTATGTGGCTTTATATAAATCACACTTTTTATGTAGTTTGGTTCTTAGTTTCTGTTTTTCTGCGCGTGTTAACGTTTTTCTTTCTTGGTATTTACAGTTTGAAAATGTAAGATTGTTTATATGAGACAGCTTTCGTTTTTCAGGATTGCACAGATGGTATACAGCTAATGTATTCAAATAATGCACTGTTTAATTCCATCTCTTCTACTGCATGCTTTATTAGTTGTAGAAGTTGGCATACCATAAAACTTGTCCTCTGCATTGCCTAACAGATGGTGTGGAGTCTGTGGCCTAACAATAGACCTTCCTTGGTCTAATTTAGTTGTTACTGTATTAGAGGAGGAAAGGAATGTTCATGACAAGCATTGTTTATCCTATTGTAGCTTATTAGATTATGTTGCTTTCCCACTGAGTGGTGTGAGCTGATGGAAAATTTCTATTCACATCCTTAAATTACCTGCTCCTTAATTTTTAAGTTTCTTACCTAAAATAAGGTCTTTTTTTTTTTTTTTTTCCTCCAAATAATTGGCAGGAATATCTATTTAAGATATTTGTTATTAAGAAATGAATGATGTGAAAATAATTCAAGTAATTGCTTATGATGATATTTTATTTCAAAGTCAATGTATGTAAGGATATTTGTGTTGTAATTGTCGAAAGAAAACTTGCATTTATAGCTAAAACTGTAATACATAGCGTACAGGACAGAAGTTTAATTTTTCTTGAGTTTTTGAGAATAGTTTATTTGATAGTGGTTTTAGATAGAAAGGAATGTGGCATGGCATTTTTGCAATATCTTATCTTTTTCAGGTGCTTGGGTAAGCCGTGGACTAGGAATGGTGAAGGAAGCAAATGATCAATTAGTATGGACATACACTGCTCAACACTTAGGCTACTGGATTGCAGCTCCACTGCCTGGAACAAGAGGTATTGCAAGTACAAGTAGTGAATAATTCAAGCACAAAGTTGTCATCAGGCTGTTAGTTTGATTGTTTTGAATAACAAAAGAAAGGGAAAATGACATGGAATTTCAACACGGATAACTTCTGCTTGTTTGAATTCTGATAATGTGTGCCTTTCTGCATGTGATTGTTTCCTAGAACTTGCAGCACAGCCTGTATTTCCCTCCAGCAGTGTTAGAAGTTATATGTTTATGTTATTGCCGTCTTCTGGAAGAACCTTGCAAGGAAACTGTAACTGTGGAGATTTAAAATAATCAATAGTGTGTCCCTTACAGCTGAGGATAGTGTAAAACAGGAAGAAATGCAAGGAGGTTAGGCTTAGGTGTGTGGCCTCAGTGGATCCTTTTTTATGTATACATGTTGCATACTTGGATTTTGCAGATTCAAAATGAGGGTTTTTCCCAGGAGAGATGTAATGTGAAATTGTAAATATTATAAAAGCACTTCTTAATAGAAACACTGAACAGAATATATAGGTGATGTTTCTAAGTCAATTTGGACACCTCAGACAAATGTCATTTGGCTGGAATAGATTAGGTTCATGGTATTCCTTTAGTATCTAAGATGAACCCTTAGAAATCCGTTATACTGCACATTTTCTAGACTGCTAAAGTAGCAAAGTGAGAAGGGATAGATGAATATAGTACCATAGGAACACAAAATTATGGGAGGAGTACAGCATGTTGTATTGCTACAGCTCTGCATATCAGTAACGATTACTTGATTTTGAAATCTAATTCTTGTCTGCTTTTGTGTTTGAAAATCTAGAATCGATCATTAGTGCAGTTTCCAAGGACATAACAGCCTATCACACAGTGTTCCTTACAGCCATACTGGGAGGCACTGTTATCATTATAATTGGATTTTTTGCTGTTCTTCTTTGTTACTGCAGGTAAGCAAAAAGAGGGGCTGTAATGAGCTCAGCATTAATGTAATTTAAGATTGAGTAACTTGAACTTGGCAGGTTTCTTAACACTATTGAAAAGATATTAAGATATAAAGCAAACAGAATGTTTTCAACTCTTAATACGCCCAACTCCAATATGTAGCCAAAGATTTCTTCAATTTTGGTGCTTACAGAAATTCATTTTAAGTTTTTTGACAACATATTATACTAGTAACTTAAACAACTTCTGATATTCAGATATGGAATTGAACAGTTGTTGTATTTCCTAGCGTACTCTGCAGTCATTCTTCATTTCTTCTGCTTAGGGACAAATGCGGTCAGACACAAAAGAAGGAAAAAAATACAACAAAGCTGGATGTCATAAAAAAAGACCAGACCACATCAACAACTCACATAAATCACATCAATGCTGTCAAGGGGTCTTTAAAGTTAGAGGATAAGTCGCAGCTGTATACGCCGAAGATGTCTTCATACAGCCCTCAAAGAAGGATGTCCACGGACACAGAAGATGGAAAATCACGAGACAATTTTAAAATCTACTCTGAAGATACTTCTTATCAGTCATCCTATCAGACTGGTCAGTCCATAAATTCACCTCATTCCTTGGAGCCTGGCGCTGGACTCAGACACTTGCAGCCACCAAAGCATACTAACAGTGCTGCTTCCCAGGCTCCTAGGGACATTCAAGAGCAAAACAGATATCTTACACTGCAAGAGGAAATATACGGGCTTTCCCATATCCCGGAACATCTAATGCATATTTACAACCAACCTATTGCTATTCTTCAAACTTCTGATCTTTTCCATTCCCCAGAACAACTGCACGCCGCTAAATCAGCAACTCTGCCAAGGAAAGGACAGTTAGTGTATAGCCCCATGATGGAGCCTGTGAATCGAGATGGTTACATACAAACACTACCTAAAATGCCAGTGCACTCTCATCCACAGCCTTCTGTCTGCAGAGATGAGAAAAGCACCTTGGATGGTGAACAAGGCTTGCCTTCTCAAACGTCAAACTGGGGTCGGTACACTAACAGCTTACTGGAATCTGTCTCTGTCCCTGGAACGTTGAATGAAGCAGTTGTAATGACTCCGTTTTCATCTGAGCTTCAAGGCATTTCAGAACAAACGCTACTGGAGCTCTCTAAGGGAAAGCCATCTCCGCATCCTCGAGCATGGTTTGTGTCCCTGGACGGGAAGCCGATAGCTCAAGTGAGGCATTCTTTTATAGATCTGAAAAAGGGCAGAAAAACAGAGAGTAATGATACCAGTCTGGACTCCGGTGTGGACATGAATGAGCATCATCCTGGTAGGAAACTGGAGCGAGAGAAAACCTTCATTAAAAATATGCCGCATTCAAAGATCCTTTACTTGGAAGATCTGGATCTGAGTAGCAGTGAAAGTGGGACCACTGTGTGTACTCCAGAGGACCAGGCTGTGAGGCACATTCTGGATGGAGGGAATGGGCAAGCCATAGAACAGCATGATGAAGAGGGTCTGAGAAGAAAAACTGTGTCAGGAAGTCAGGAATCCGGAATCCCTTCCCCTAAAAAAAGGGATAGGCCATCTCTCACAAAAAGAGATAGCAAGACTAATATCTGGAAGAAAAGAGAGGAGAGGCCACTTATTCCTATAAATTAAAACACAATGTGCTTTGTGTTGTTGCTCTCCCTGCTGGTTGGTGACTTCTTGGCTGCTTGTGTAATTCTGCAGTGTAGGGTTTACAAGGGAAATATTGTTTTCTAGTATCAAGAAAAATTAACATTTTTTAATGTACAGATTGAGTTACTTTAACTTCAGCTGGGCAATTGATATTCAATAGGAATTAATTGATAACAGGGAAACACATGAAAAATTTCCAATTCCTAATTTTGCTGGCAGTGTAGAGAGGGTCCACATTTTAATTAGCCTGTCATTTTTTTTGACACAACTCTTAGAATGCACAGTGAGAAATGTAGGCACATCGTTTTTTGTTGTTTTTAATTTTTTGCTGAAGCAGTACTATAGTGGCTCAAGCCATTTCTCAGTCTTGTTCCTAATAAATGTGATTATCTGTACAGTATTTTATATGTGAATTTTTCTAGGGATTTGTCACTACCACTTTGTATAATGCGTCATCATTTAGTCCCTTGGCACCAGAAGAAGAGCTCTGTTGGATTTCTCAGAAAAGTTCTAAAGCATTGCTGTCCTCTCTGTGTCCATTGGTGTGCAAGAGGTAACTGTTTTGTACAGCAGTGGCAGCAGGGGGATCTGTACATGCTGTGTGGTTACTGGAGTTCATGATCTCTGCTGTCATAAGGTGTTGCCTATCTTTTTTAGTCCGCTTTGTTCTGAACTGAGGATGTTGACAACTGGCATCAGCATCCACCTCCTGCAGGAAAGGACTGGTTCTGGTCACATTTAGAGCTGCTGTTACTGCTGATCTCAGTGGCTTCTTTAAGCTTTGTTACTAGTTAAAATCTTCTCTTCTGCATACTGTTGAAAGAGTTGTGCTCCAAAACATCGTCTTGGATTCCTTGGGATTTATAAGTTAGACTTTGGACTGCGATGAAAAGTGTGCAGGTTTAGACAAGTTATGTTATAGTATGTAATAGTGCCCTTTGGTGGGAAAGCTGTTGCTTTTTATTTTATGATTTGGAGATGTATGTGCCTACGTTTTACTAATCCAAGCTACTTATGTCTAGGTTGTGCATCACAGTGGAGTTAAGCAGGCTTTAAAAATTGGGGTTTTTTATAAGCATGAGAGCAGATTGCAAAATTTGGTCTGTAATGCAATATAAATAGTACTTATGACTCAACTTAGAGTTAAGCTTACCAAAAGTCATGGATGCATGAAGTGTAACTAAGATATGTATAGGGGAGGGAAAGGCCATCAAAATGTTCTTTATTTTTAATGTTCATCTTGTTGAAGTGATAGTTTCAACTTTGGCTAACAGAAAAATATACATACCCTTTGAACATGCTTTGTATATAGAATGTCTTTCTGTGGCTTTTAAGATGCTTCCCTGATTAAATAAGTTCCAGCATCTTGGCCTTGGCAGTTTGACTACAAATCATCCTAAAAAACGTTGTAAGTGTTTCCTGTAGTTTGTAGTAGTTTAGGTTCAACAGTGAGGTAAGGTCCAAGCATGAAATGCATGCAGGTAAACTGTAGGGTGCACTTAGTTGACTGCCTGGCACTGCCATCCTCCTGCCTTTTTGCCACCGTTGTTGAAGCACGCCTTGATTTTCTTCCATGCCAGTGCTTCAGGAATTCTGTCTTCTGAGAAATCGGGGGGGAGGTTGGGAGTTAAGTATGATGGTGGTGTTTATTAACATCCATCTGACGTGTGCACTCAGAGTTGGGAAATATCCTATGTGGCTGGGCTTGTGGGAGTGAATACTCAGGAAATTGTTCTGTGAACTGCGTCTCTTCTTTTGGAATTGTCGGCTGTCTGGTGACTGTTTCTAGAAGAATATGTAAGATAATTGGGATTGTACTAGCAGTCCATTAGTCCAAGTTTTTCTGACGTCTCTGATTCTCTTTGGCCAAAAGACTCTGATTTAATTATGCAGTTCATCTGTTTTAGGGATGAAGATGGCTTGCCATATTAGCATCCCTTTGGTACTTTTTCTTGTTAACTAATTTAACTTCTCTATATGAAATACAGTACCTATTTTCCTGTATTCAATCCACTGGATTATTTATACGACTAATTTTATAGCCAAAAGTGATGAAATTTTCTTTTTTTTCCTTTGTTTGCTTTATTACTTATCCATTATGTATTTTGAAGTGTATTTTCATAAGAATGCACAATTTATTGAAAGTTACTTTTACTTTAGAGGTTCAGTATTGCCCTGCTTAGAATTGCATCAGTTGTGATGAGTCCCTTTTAGAAAAGAGACTTTCATATCTTCTGTTGAAAATAACAGTAAATCCCCGATAGTGGATTTGAGTTGTCTAAATTGAGTATCGTTTTCCTACAGTAATTTAAATATACAGCAGATTCTTTCTCTTGTTTAAATAATATTTTAAATTGTAGGTACCAAGACTACGGCATTCCTTAAACTCACTTTTATCATGGAAAGGCAAAGACTGTAGCAAATGGCTTTGTTCATGTCAGCTCAAGTGAATGAAATTTTGCGCTCCAGTGATCCTGTTCTGCATCGGAGTAGGTATCTGGTCACCAAAGAAAAAGGATTAGAAATTTTGAAAAGATCAGTTTAGGATTTCAAAAGAGCAGTTTCCAAAGATGCACTGAGTTTGTGCTGATTCTTGTCTGCTATGTTGTGGATCACAAGCAAGGAGTGGAGTTATTTTCTGAACCTTCAATCTTAATGGGCTTTTGGATGTCTGGATTAAGTCACAGTTTTGCTTTTGTAGGCCTCTTGAAAGGCTGTCCGTAAGTGCATCAGCTCCTAGGCAGCCAGGCAAGTTGGAGGGGAATATTATTAAGAATTTCTTGCTGCTGAGCTTCTCAGTAGTAGGAAGCAAAATGAATTTCTTTCTGAAAGTGTGCTTTATGTTCTCATGATTGGTAGAGATGACTTATCTGTGGATAAAGTACGTGTCCTTAGTAGCCTTGCAATAGCTCTAGCTGTGGTGGGACATCTCCTATCAACTTCTTTTGTGAATGAAGGGCCTCGATTCTCTTTTGCCTAATGAGAATGTGAGCGTTTGTTTGCGTGGAGTATTTAAATTCTTATCTAGAGTGCACAAGCAGCAGTAGAGGTAATTCAATTTCCAAGACTGTCTTGAATTGTTGCTTCCGTCCATGCTTTGCTTGCTTTGTAGATCCTATATGCCAACTCTACTGTATGTGACTTGCTGGCATTTATCACATTGTCATATGCTGCTGGTAACACTGCAGAACACTTTTCTTTAGCTGTATGTGGGAAGATAGTAGTATGAAAACAGATGATGCCCCTAGTTGATGCCCCTAAGCACACAGTGAGAGGGAATTCTTCCCTGGCCCTGACTTGAGCATTAAATCTTGGATTTTTAAATTTATATGCTTTTCTAAAATACTTAAAACACTTGATATCCGTATGCAGTATTTACAGGCTATATCCTGTAAGTATAGTCATTGTTTTCCATTCATGTGTTGGAACTTGGTGCACTAGAAACCTGTATTACCTCTTAGTGACTGGAATTCTTTATTTTACTCGTCTGTTCAAGAAAAGGAGTTTTGCTACGTTGAGTTCTGATATTTTAATTGCAGATACTGTATGCTATGTGTGTGTAGACAAAATGTTACCGAGATGTTGAGTTTCTTGCAGCTGGGTATATCTTTTCTATGTGTTAGCAGGTTTTGATGAGGTGGTTGATGGAGTGAGCTGAGGCCTTGCTTCTGCAGATGAATTCTTGTGGCTCAGATCAGTGCTTTCATGCACTGTAATCATTTTCAGGATCTAAAGGGGGTCTATAAGAAGGGGATGGATTCTTTAGCAGGGTCTGTTGTGGCAGGAAAAGGGGAGGTTATTTCAAAATAAAAGAGGGAAGACTGGACATAAGGAAGAAGTACTTTTATAGTAGGATTGGTGAGGGGCTGGAGGTTGTCCAGAGATGCAGTGGATGCCCTGTTGTTGGAGAAACTTGAGGTCAGGCTGGATGGGGCTCTGAGTGCCATGATGGAGCTGTAGATGTTCCTGTTCATTGCAGGGGAGTTGGACCAGATGACCTTCAGGGGTCCCTTCCAACTTAAACGATTTTATGATATTGTAGATGATCAGATTAAATAATACATAGCTGTATATACATTAGTATGTGTATGGTAACCAGAATACAAATGAGCTAATAAACAGTAATTTTCTGGTGGTTATAAAAAGTCAGGTACTGCAGGAATTTAAAAAAGGAGAAATGCTTAAGAATTAGATTAGATTAGCAAGGAAGATCTTGTTAATACTGTCAGAATTAGGAGAAGTCGGCTATCTCATAAACCTGAAAGCACAACTGATTTGATAATTAGGGACATTATTTACCATTGCAGAGCTAGAGATGATGCAAGAGAGATAATCCAGTATGAAGGACTGCACATTTTTAGTTGTCCGCTCTGTTTCTGTGCAGTAATTTGTACCAAAGAGGGTGAGATGATTAGGCAGCAATTCAAATTCTTCTCGTTAGTTAAAATATGAAGCAGATTAACAATGTTATTGCTATAATGGTGTACAAATGAAAATACAATACACTACAGCCATTGTCCACTACTGCACGTGAAACGTGGCATACTAGGAATATCTGAAGAGCTAAATTAGCCTGCTGAAGTGCCTTTCTCTGTCATCAGACTTATTTTATCAGTGGGACACGTGATTATCTGAGAAGCACAGGTATGTGGTTTTTTTTCTGTTAGCCAAAAACCCCTGTTCAAACCTTCGGTTGTGTAGCTTTTATAATGTTTTCAAAGGCAGATCTAGTGTTTTTATGTTGGAATACTGACTTCTGCATGTTGATGATGATGACTGTTGTACACCCTGTCTTTTTTGTATTTTATGTTTGAAAAGAAATTAAAGAAGTATATCTTTAGCAATCAGAACAGTAGTATCTTTTAAAAACCACATACGGAATCCATTTCAACATAGTAAGCCAGAATGAAGCATCTTGGAAGTCACTGGGCTTATGAGTCTGAATCTGTGTTTTTTTTAACTTCAGAAATGAAATGACTATGTTTTTAACATACAAACTGTGGTGATGATAAAAAGCCACGGTCAGTTGCTAACCCTCATTGGCAGTAGGGCATATATTGAGTGAGGCGTATTGAGTTTTATTTGTGTTTTAAAACCAGTTTATATCTCATTGTGAGGTCTAACCGGGATTGTTTACATAACCCAAGCTTGTTCACTGATTTGTTTTTTGTTTTTTAAATTTGTTGCAGTTGTACTCAGGCAAAACATGGTGATAGACCTATAGAGTTACAAATGAGTATTCTTTTATAGAATTCTTACTAACTTGTGCCACAGTTCTAACAGAGGACAGGTACGTTTCTCTTAAAGAACTCATACTAAAAGTGGGTTGAGAGATTTTAATCTCAACTTCATTTTCTTTTAACAGCAGTATTCAGTGTGTTCTGCTTATTAAAAGACAAAAATTACC